AATGAATTATGAGAGTAAGAAAAAAACAAAAAAAATGATAATCATCCTACAGGCCAGATCATCGTTTTATTAGTCCGACGCAATTACGGAACATTATAATTGATATAATTATAAATCTCCGCATATCTAAATATACGCAATAATATATAATAAATGACTAAAAAGTACACTGTTTTTTCTAGTTAAAGTCAATATTAATTATTTTGATTGAATATTATATAACTCTAAAGCCATTAAAAGGAATTAGGCAATTAAAAAGTGGAATCATTTTGATCACATGATCACATGTAACTTACTTGAATCGTTCTACACTTGAAAAAAATTAGATACACTTAATTGATCAATTTTTCCCTCTAAAATATTTAAAATAATCTCATCATTACCTGAGGATCCAATAGTCAGATGTCAACAATAGATCATACATATACGTGTGTCAAAAAAATTAAAAAAATAGTCATAAATATCTCATTATATGTGATTAGGAATGTTTATAGAAATCGGCATATTAATTCTATGGTAGATATTTTCATCGACTCTGAGCGTCAATGAGAGTTAAAATAAAAATGCGTTTTAAAGTTGTCGAAATAAAGTGCATCGACTCTTCATTAGTTAGATCGACCGCAATATTCATCGTGAGAGAGTTTCTTTTCTATCAAGCGAGACAATGATGATTAAAGAAAATCGCTTTCGCATGTTGAAATTAGATGGTACGGATTTATATATTCATCATATTTGGCTAAATTAAATCAATTCTAAAATGTCAAATATATTTAGCATTATGACTCGAGAATCAAGAGTGCCAACCATTAATCATTTACAAGTTTATTTGAAACAGCAAATCATTACTTCCAACACTTGGTGTTAGGGGTGCTGTGACGCTCACTTTTGAAGCATTTTTTCTTGAATGGTCAAATGTAAAATCAAACTTTTAACTATAGCTTTGAAATTGACATAAAAAAGAACAATAGCAACATTTTATTGTTCGCTATTGATCCAGGTGTTTGAATGAAATGTAGTCTTAAAAATCACCTACCATCTCTAATACCAAAAAGAAAAGATGAAATGATTAAAAGAATTCACCTATCAACTCTCTACTAAAATGAGAACATAAGAAAGAAAAAGTAAGAAGACATTAATTTTTTTTTTTAAAAGCCACATCATCCTTGTACTAGAATCGAATCAGTGCGATGCACAGAATCTTGTAATATAAATAAAATTATAAATCATATCTCAAAAGATAGATAAAATGTACGAAGGATAAATAATTAAGAAGTCTATTACTTTGGGTTAAAGTCAATATTAGTTATTCTCACTCAATATCATATCAGTCTAAAGTAGTTGAAAACTGGGCTGAAAGAAAGCAATTAAAGATGGAATTGTCTGGGTCACATTAACAAATCTAACTTACTTATATCATTTCACGTTTGAAAGAATTAGATTTTCTTAATTGACGGAATTTTCCTTTTAAGATCCATTAGTGTTGTCTAGAAAAATCGGCATATTACTTTTTATAGAATACTTTCGCTGATTATGAATTTATGAGCTTCGTTAAAAATATTGCTTTTTAAAAGGGTGGAAATATTGTAAGAGCCAGTTTCTTTTCTATTGTGCAAATAAGTGATTTATCAACCGCTTTTTTTTTTAATTTCAAACTTGCCAGCAGAAAATTCAATTTTTCATATGAAATATTCTTCTAGATGACAAAATAGTATATATATTCATAATTAGATGCTACGTGTATATTTTACATTTACTTGAATTAAATCGATGATAAGATGATACGCATACTTCACAAGACTCGAGAGTTGAAAGCCAAAAAAAAATCATTTTCAAGTTTATTTGCGAAAGAAAACCGTTACTTTCAACTCTTGATAGTTTAGGTACGACAATATTCATGGACATATTAACTTTGAAGAATTTTAGCTGAAGCATCAAATGCAGAATTAAACTTTTAATTTTACTTTTCAAATTGACACAGAAGAAAAAGAAAAAATAGGAAGATTCAATTTTGTAATATTATTAACGATAATTTGAAAACAAAAAGTCTTAGACACTCATTAACCCTAATACAGAGATGGCAAAGAAAATAAAATCTAATACAAAAAAAAAAGAGGAAAAAATAGTGAGTGTCATTATTTTGACCAAGTTAAAAAGTATTCAAATAAAATATTACCACTCATGGCCGCCCCTAAGTCACCAACTCCGATATTCTTTATTAAAAAAGAAAATGAAATTTGTGGAAATTCCTCAAAGTGACCACCTCACTCTAATGTACTCCCCACCCAACTTTAATATACATAGAATACCAGAAAACAAATTATGCTATTAAATGCTTTGTTTGATTATAGGGATAATAACACAACAACTCTCCAAACTTTGGCCCAATATGCAATATGGTCCATAAATTTTTAATTTGTTCAATATAATCCATGAACTTTCACCCAATATTTAATGTGGTCCCTGCACTTTTAATTTGTTCAATGTCGTTATTGGACTTTTGGTACATGTTCAATGTACATTTTCATATAGTTTAAGAAGTACATTGAACATGTACCAAAAGTCTAGAGACGATATTAAACACATTAAAAGTTTAGGGACCACATTGCAAATTTTGGGTTAAAGTTTATGAACTATATTGAACAACTTAAAAGTTCAAGGACTACATTGCACACTGGGCTAAAGCTCATGGACCGTTTGTGTCATTTTGCTTTGATTATATTACGTTCAGAACAATTTGCTTGAAAATTCAATAAATTAAGGTCTCTTTTTGGGGCTAACTTAGGTATATAATTACAGCTTGTGTTGATGACTTGTTTAATCACGAAATGTTGTGGGCTCTATACCCTGATTTTCACTTACTCAAGGAGCTGATTTTACGAAAAAGTCAGCCAGCATATATACCTTCCCAAGTGAAAAAAAGACATGAAATTAAAAAAAGAAAAAGAAAAGACAAGACAAGAAAGAGAACGCAACAAGGACCGTTCTAATGGAGGAACAGCGATTAAGAATACGAATGGGGCCCAGCTGTTCTTCCATTATATTCTATAATTCGAAGGAACGATTTACTATGCTATATACTAAAATAAGTTAAGAAAAAAAATCTTTCAAATAATTTTCATGCAAGGGGGCGTGCTGACCGTCAAAGAGGCATGGCTGGACCAATCTCGACCGTTCTAAATCCTCCCGATTTCACCCTTCATTTTATAGGACCATTTTAAAAGTTAGTAGTATTCGATTCGCATGATCTTTGTTCCCTCTGAATTAGAGATTTACGTAAATTGCACGGGGGAAGAAGTCAACGGACAGTAATTGGATCAGACGGTTGGCGTTCAATCAATCAAGGGAAGGGATCCAAACCACTCAATTTTGTACGCTTCCTGTTTTTTTTTTTTTTTTTATGAATGTGCATAACAAAAGTGATTTGGGTTTTGTTTAATAATTAAACCCATGTTCTCTGGCATGACTTTAGGGATTAAATGAGAGATTGGTGAAGGTTCCGTAGCCGTCCAAACACTCTTTAACGTGCTTTCATCAACATGTGAGCTGGTGGGTTTTTTTTTTGTGTGTGTGTGGAGGGTCAATGATCTTCTGGTGAAACAAGGAACCCAAATGTTGAACATGAAATGGCCCGAAATTGAACATTACCCCGTGTTTGACCTCCTTAGTTAAAATAAAAAAATTGTTTTCCAAGACGTGGACCAATTGGAAAAATTGCAGAGCCCAAAAAGAAAAAAAAAGGGTGCCTTCGCAAGGTGGGCAGCCTCGAGAGGAGGAGGGCACGTGACACCTGATAAGAGTCAAAGTCAAGGGATGCGCGCTATGTTTTGTGATGACATCCGATAACATCCCATTGAAATTCATAAGATGAAAGGGATAATCTCTCGAAGGAGTCCCAAATTTTGCCCAATATTTAATGTGGTTTTTAAATTTTTAAACGTTTTTATATAGTTTAGAGATTAATTGAATATGTACCAAAAGTCTAAGGACCACATCGAATAAATTAAATTTAGGGACCATATTGCATATTCGGCTAAAGTTCAGGGATCACATTGAATAAATTAAAAGTTCATGAACCAAACTGAATATCGAGTCAAAGTTCAGATATCATTTGCCATTTTCCCCGACAATTAAATTCCGTCTGGGTTTACCCTCGGTGGGTTAGTGTCACCATTTGCCTTAGCTTAGCCTTTTCAATTATGGAGCTATGATAAGGTCACAGCCCCATGGGGGAGTTTCCAAAATCACAGAACAACCCCCCCCCTTGATTTCCCCCTAATCCCATCTTGGGTCCTAATCAAGGTTTAATTAGTGGGGTGATTAACTTTCTCGAAAATCACAACCGGGAAACGGTCCTCGATTGGGCCTTCGTGACCCGGAGGCGACATGTGATCATGGGATGGTGACATTGGGCGGGCTGGCTCGTCCGAAAGGCCAGCCATGGCAAAGTGAATTAATTTCATCAACATCATGTCATCACGCTCACCTACACGTAAGGAAATTGTAATAAAATCGCAAGAAAGCTTAGACAAGGGGGAAGGGGAGGGAGGATTTTCTTTATTTTAAGGAAATAAAACAAATAGAATTTTTGGGGGATTTAAGGAAGAATCCAAACTAACTGTCCTTGTTTCTTCCTCCTCTTCTTTGGTTGTTCTCTGCCCGGTGGCTTTCCCTTTCTTCTTCACCCCCTAATAAGTTTGTCTTTTTTTTATTTTTCAAGAAATCCAAGATCAGCGAAAAAAAAAAAAGGGGGATTTGTAAATTCTTGGTGTGTTGAAAAAAAACAAAATCACAAGAAAAGTCTATAGTCAACAGGATATGTGCGATAATATTCTTCTCTCCCTAACCCCCATTGCGGGTTCAATTAAATACTAATTATTTTATTTTATTTTAATGTTGTTTTTTAAAAAGTTTTTGCATAGAATAAAAGGGTAGCTAAAAATCTATTCAGTGACATCAAAAAGGAAGAAGAAAAGATTAAATTAAAAAGCAGAGGGAAGCTGAACACTTCTTCTTCTCTCTTTTTTTTTTCTTTTTCCTTCTCTTTTGCTTCATATTCAGCACCACAACAAAGAGGTCACATTCATGTACACAGGAGAAACACTTCATCTTCCTCCTTCCTTCCTTCCTTCATTGCAACCTTCCCCTTTTTCCTCAGGCCCATTAATTAGATTCCTCCTAAGTCCTAATGGTGTTTTCTCTTCCATTGGATTGTACAGATTCAGAGCTAAATTACCCTTCTCAATCTCTCTAGTTTCTTGTTGATTTTTTCTCTTTTTTTCTCTAATCTTCTGATTTCCATTGGACTAAAAGACATAAAAACTCTTCTGGGTTTGTGAGTTCTGCTCTCCTCTGCAGAAGCTCTTCTGGGTTTCTTGTAGCGACGCTTGCTGTGCCCAGTAGCATCTCTGTCATCAAAGGCTTGAACAAAATCATTTGTGTATATATTTTTTTTCACAAATTTGGAACTTTTTGAACATTTTCTGAATAAATTTTGCCTACCCACCTTAATTTCCTCTCTCTCAATTTTTGCTTGAACCGTTTTTTTGGCACTTGTGGGAAAAAAAAAAGAACATGGGCAAGCAAGGGCCTTGCTACCATTGTGGAGTTACCAGTGAGTTTTTGTTTCTCCAATAATACTTTTAGTTTTGTGCTTATAATTCCAGAAATGATTGAGTGGGTTCTAGTCCCTTTTCTTTTTGCTTCCTTCAATATATATTGAAATTTTTGCTGACCTTGGATTAGATATATAATTCTAACATAATTCCATCCAAGAGAGGAAGAAATAGATTACATGAAAATTGCAAAAACGAACTGCTATAGTATGTGTTATGGTGTCTGTATTTGGGTTGGGAATCCGAGGTGGATTTTTTTGATTCTGAACTGGGTTGAGTTGGAAATTCCCAATGAATCCAATGGCCTTTTTGGGTCTTCTCATTCATCCCTTGAATCTTGCACTTCCCTCTGCGCTGTGACTGACTGGAGCGTGCCTTTTGACTCTGGCTTGTTGCTAATGTCACCACTGCAAATTGAGTCTGGAGTCTTGTTGAGTGATGGGCTGTTGCCTCGTTCTTGTTGATTTGTAGCTTCCCCAATCCTGTGAATTTGTGTTGAATCCATGCAGTCGACAATGTTGACTGACCTCAATGATTCAATTGGGAAAAAATATGCTAAAGGGGCAGCTTTGTTTCACAGCTTCCTCTTTGTGTTTGGTAACACTTTGCAAAACTTCTGTATAATGAGCCACATTCTCCAATTAATGGTCACCAAGTCATACCGTTCCAAAACTAGACTGCAAACGTCCTGCAACCAATTAACCTTGGTGATTTCAAATTGCTTCAGATGCTGCACTGATGGGGCAGGATTTTGGCTCTCAGTCTGCAGTTTGATTGTGTGCAATGCTCTGACCATCAAGAACCAGTTCATGCTACCTCCTTAACGCTCGTTCAGACCTTAATATTTTGATGAATATTATTTTCATCCGTATTCAGGCACTTGAGTACTTCCTTTGCATATTGAACAGATCATTAAAGTTAGATATTACCTGGTCTGCAATCCGTTTTTCTACTCTCAGTAGCAATGGCAAGCATGCAAAGACCCGTGTCCTTCTCAATCCTATGTATCTCTTGTTGGCACTTTGAAGTTCTGACCATGATGAGATTTCAGGAATCGCTTTCTCATTGTTGAACCTTCAAAATTATCCTTTTCTGCGGAGTCCTCAAGAGCTATGTCATTCATTTTAGGTCTATCACACACTGTGCTTGACACGAAAGTCATTTGATATATGATGATACTTATGCCATAAGAAGTTCATTTGACATGAAACCGCATGTTTCATCTGGATTATCAAATGCAGTGTGTGGTTTCTCTGGTATTTGTCATACTGATATCATCAGCTATATTTACTTGACTTCAGGTGCTAAACAAGACATATAAATGAAGAATTTGATGCTAATTGAGACATATCTCTTAACTACTGTTGAAGTGCAATCTGCTGAACTGTTGACATGATGCTATGTCAAATTTACTTCTTTCTTTTCCATAGTAGTAAGCTTGAAATTAGGATTTTATCTCTTCGGAGCTTTCACTAACCCAACATTGAGCACATGACAGTTCTACTGGACTCATGACAACCGAAGTTATCACTCTTAGCACTTCTTTTCTCTCTGTTTTCTACTACAATTGATTTAGTCATAATTTGCATCTGTATGTCTTTTGCTTGTGGATGCTAATTCTTGAACATTGCATCAGGCACCCCTCTTTGGCGCAATGGCCCTCCCGAGAAGCCAGTGCTGTGCAATGCATGTGGGTCTCGATGGAGGACAAAAGGAACGCTGGCTAATTATACCCCTTTGCATGCACGGGCAGAACCTGGCGATTATGATGATCATAGATATGGCAGAGGGAAAAACATATCCATAAACATAAACAAGAACAAGGAAGTAAAAGTTCCCAAGAGAAAGCAGATTACAGACGATATGGTTTTTGGAGGGATTGTGTCTGATTATAATCAAGGCTTCCAAAAGTTTATAGATGAAGATACAAGTAATAGATCCAGCTCTGGCTCAGCTATATCCAACTCTGATGCACAGTTTGGCAGTGCAGATGTTAGTGATTTGACAGGTTGGACATCGATTGCCTATTTATTGAAGTATGTTTTTCTAGTACTTCAAAAAAAGAGAACTTTTTCTTCATTCTTCTGAAGAATCAAGCAGAGATGGACAAGATGGCACTTCTGGTTATGGCATGTGGTCCAAATGAGTCATTGGCAAGGGAGTTTCCTAGTCCTGTACTGGGGAGGTAGAGTAAAGAAATGTTGCCCAATATAATAAGTGAGAAATAGCAAATACTATTCTTTTATAATTGAAAGATACAAGATAGATAATGAAGAGAGAAAATGAAAACAGATAGACTACTGTACCTAAATCTGTTCGTACATTTGATTTTCAATAATTTAAGAAAATTGTTGAGTGCTTGCACAGATCAGAGTTGTTTTTCTTCGCAAGAAGGGTGGCTGTATTCTCTACTACAATTTTGCAGATTACGTGGTTTGTCATGAGTGCATTTTCTTTTTATCAGTGACAAATATGATGGGGAACTGCCTTCATATTGGTAGAGAATATGTGGGTAGCCCCCTACTGCTAATTGTATATGGTAATGTTACTCCTTCTTTGTTGCTGATTCTTTCCTCTCCCTTTGTTGCTTTGACAGGTCCAGCTCAATCGGTTGTGTGGGACTCGATGGTGCCTTCCCGGAAGAGGACGTGCGTGAATCGTCCGAAACCTTCTCCAGTCGAGAAACTTACAAGAGACTTGCACACTATATTACACGAACAACAGTCTTCATGCTTATCTGGTTCCTCGGAAGAGGATTTGCTTTTAGAGAGTGAAATGCCAATGGGGTCTGTTGAGATAGGACATGGAACTGTTCTCATCAGACATCCAAGTGCAATAGCTCGAGATGAGGAATCTGAAGCAAGCTCTCTCTCAGTCGATCGCAAACATTATAAGACAAGTGAGGCCTATTCTCGTCCTATGTCTGTCCCTCTATATAACAATGCAAGAACAGTGAGTTTTCCAAGTGCAAAACCTGGAATGGAGAAGAGTAAAAGCTCTAGTGGACAAGGAACGAGAGTTGAACATCTTAGAAGGTAACTCTTCTTGCTAGTTGTGAAATTGCACTGAATATTGATAGATAAAAATTCGTGATATCTCAATTAAAGATCTGAATATTGAGGCTACAGGCATCCCCATTTAGAGAGAGGGCTAAGCATAGTTCGATGGCAAGTTCAACTGGGACCATTTTGTGATAGATCAGTGCTTCCTTTCTATGAAGAACGTGCATTTTGTTAAAAGATGGTTTATATCTATTGGCGGAAACAAAAAGTTGCTGCTTTTTGCAGTAGAACTTTGCTCTTCTAGTGCAAGACAGATGGTCAGTATGGCCCTTCTCTAATATCTCTCTAATCGGTAATTACAGGGACATATCTCAGCATGAGAAACTGCAGGGTCTAGGAAGTCATAATTCGCCACTAAGTTACATAGATTTGAAAGTAAGTTGACTTACTTCCTTTAATCTTTCCATAGAAGTGAACATTGAACAACTTGATATTGCTTAAGTACCTATTGCGATTATATTGATGAGCATCCTAAGTTTAAGATTTGCTTCTTCTTGATCAATGATTGTTCATTCATAGGGACATGTTTTGGTTGTCATGTGTGTCATATGCATTCCAAATTCGTGCATGTATTCATTTAGCGTATTTTTGCAAATAGAGCAACTTAGAGGATGAAAATATAATATCACTGGGAAACTTCATGGATACAACCGAATTTCTTTTTCTAACTCTACATGCTTTTGGATTCAACGATTCATGTCAACTCCATACGCGATTTACAAGATTGACTCTTAGCTCAAGTTATCCTGATTCCCAGACATTTGTTTTTCCCCCCTGTCCAGCATTGGTCTGCTCAATATGGTAACAGCCTCTCACTTTCTTTTTATTTCTTACAATTTGGGTAGGAAGTGCTAAACTTTGAGGAGTTCGCAAGACACTTGAACGATGATGAGCGACGGCAACTTCTAAAGTACCTACCTTCTGTTGATACCAGCCAACTTCCTGACAGGTTATTCTTCTTGTCACCCATTTCTTCATGTGGTTCAATGGTGGACTTAGCAAAACATATTTCTCACGAGATGACTGGTAAAAATGGATTAGATTAGTTGTGCTATCTATGAGGCAGGCAGTGACTATGGTTTATGACATCCGCTTGCTTATATGCTTCCCTGTGCAAATGCCTGGATAAAATTGTTATCATTAGTTTGATACTCTTAAACGAGCTGCTTAAATTTTTGGGACATTATTTAATGCCTTGACATAGAAATTTCTTCGGTGCAGCCTTGAGCACTTGTTTGATAGTCCTATCTTCAAGGAGAACTTATCTTCCTTCCAGAAGCTTCTCTCTGAAGGGGTCTTTGATGGCTCCTTTTTGGGTGTAAAAGCCGAAGACTATAAGACTCTGAGAAGGCTTGCACTTTCTAGTTTGATGAAATGCAAATGGGTGGAGTGCCACCAGCAGCTCCAGGTACGTAAAAAGATTAGCATGGATCTTATTACCTATGAGCATTGACAATCTGCTGCTCCTTTGCTTAGAAGCTGATCATTGGATGCAGGATTGTAAACATACCTCTGGAGAGTCTAGTGTTGGCAGATCTCACACCACTCTTGCTAGAAATTTAATGACCGGCAAGAGAGTTCGTGACATCCAAAGTCAGAACTTCCCAGGTGAATCCTCATGCATTTTGTTCATGGATTGTGGAAAGAATTGATCTCTTATTAACTTATCTGTGGGTCACAGTGCACTTAATGCCGAATCATTTGATGTCTATGGATTTTAGGATGGAAACAAGACAAACCAGACAAGAGCTTTTAAAAGTCAAATAAGTACCCTACTGATCATAGCATGCAATCTTACTTTTGCTGTCCCAACACACGATACCAAAAGTTTTTGAAGGCATAAATTACTCATTGCTAAATCTTGCTTTCAGGTTTTCCTCCTTTCTTTCATTGAAAGGTAGGAGGGATTATGTCTGGTAATTGGATTGCTTTCAAACATATTCATTATTGAAAAAAAATCCTGTTATGGCGAAATTGAACTTTCTCCATGCTCTAAGAATATCAAACAAACATGCTATAGGGAATCTTGTGACTATCTTATGGTCTGGAAAAACATTTAATAATCTCATGCATTGTATCTTTCAGAAGCAAAGGTAATGATGAAGAGTCCAAAAAGGGCGGCTTGGAAGGGTAGCTGTGAAAACAAGGACCTCTTGGACAATGATGGCTATTGCTTCAGTCCAAGAAGCCTCTTTGCCTTGCCTCCTGATAATAGCACTCTAATGCTGGATTCTTTCCCAGTCATAGATGAAAGTAATGATCAGGATCTTCTGGTCGATGTGCCATCTAATGGCTCCTTTGCTCAAGCAGAGCTCCTTCACCCGGCACTGAGTTTTGGCTCCCAACAGGCAAGTACTAGTAGTAGTTCAGGATACCCGAATGCTCTTCGACCCTGATAATCATTTTGTCAGGTGTTACGCTTTAGTCTCTAGGGTTTATTTAGGCGTGCCATTGGGCCGAAGCCAAAACAGGTCACTTGCGTGGCTAACTAAGGAAGTTTGTGAATGGGGTTTGTGGATTCTCTTCTTGGCTTCAGCTTTTGAACTTGGAATCCTCTTGATGTGAGTATAGGTCGGTTGTCTTTTTCTTTTTCAATTTGTATAGGATGACGCACAGGATGTAATATAGCTCTTGATGCAGAAGAGATGGTCACTTGCAGAGTTCTGTTGCGACTATTTTTGTTTTTTGTCACCCTTGGCGCATCAATTTCGCTTTTCAGTATGGCAAATCATGCCAATTGACGAAAAGAAGAGGAAGCCAATGAAGATGATGCTAGTGAGGTAACTTGTAATGATAACTCTGTTTTTTTGGTGGTATAAACTCATGTTTTTCACTCAAATAACTTGTTTTAAGATCTCCTTGAAACAACATATCAACATGATGAAACGTAAAAAGGATAAAGCTCAAATTAGTGCTTAATGCATGCAGATGTGCGTGGAACCTAAAGACGATCCTGATGATTTTCTCGCGAGCTAATTCTGCTTCCTAATCTCTTTCCTGTCCACAGCCACAGCCAGGGGCCAAAATTTGTAAATCACAGTAAAACTCAAATCAGCGCTTGACGGCGCACTTCAAGGTCCGAGAAATGTGTTAAGACTGTGTTGAACACCTAATACATAGTCATCGGAATCTCACGAAACTTCATGACTAGTTAACCATTCAGAAATGTATACGTTACATGCACAGCATATAAGAATGTATTAGGAACCGGAGAATCTCCTGGTTGTGGATATACCGCTATAGCTAATACCAAATGCACATACTCCTACAGTCACACCTGCCCTTACTTTGTCTTCAGTTCTTTGGCCTTTCTGTAAGATCTTCGGGCTTCCTTCACAGTGGAATAACGTCATAGAACAGATCCCCTTTAGAGGTTAATCCTCCCCGGTGAAACAGATGAAGAACCCCATTACGCTGGAAACTCTCATATAGAGAACATTTGGAATTGATCCTATCGACGCCTCCACATGGGTATAAGCCGATGATGGCGAACGTTAATGCCAACAATGTCATCAGGACTAAGTAACAGAGGAGGATTTTGCCTGAACTTGTAGGGCCTTCAAGCGGGCTCAATTTGAGGGTGTCCTGAAAGGGGAAAAATTGCCAAAAAAGTTCTAAACCTATTGTAATTGTGTTAATTTAATCATGAACTTTTGCCAACTTAATACTAAATCTTTTGCATTTATGTCAATTCAGTCCACTTGGCCAATTTTGGCCGGGCGGCGCTGACTTGGATACCGGCCGGCTAACGTGGACAATTTTTAATAGTATTGTATTTTTTTTAAATTTTTTTCTTTTTTTTCCCACTGTGGCCGGCCCGGCCACTAGCAATTGCAGACAGTGCTTGAGCAATAGTTTGATAACATCGGTATCCCAGAACGGCGGTGCAATAGAGTGGCGTTCTCTTTGCTCGGCCCTTTAGAAGGCTGAGCTTAGCATCGATTGGCTAAGAAGTCTTTCATCATCTCTACTTGACCATTTGTAGGAGCCTGGCGTAATGACCACCCTTCTTTGATTAAGCATTGAAAAGAAAGATGGCTCCAAAGGAGCCACTTCCTCTGCGAAACGAACTTGGCCTGCTGATATGGCGACGTGTAAAGGAGTTTGGAGAAGTGATCTGCTTGATTTTCTGCAGCGAACTGTTTGGTGATGCAGAGGCTAGAACAGATATGTTAGGCTTGTATGCCTGGACTTCAGAGTGCGAACGAGCTGCATCTATCAATAAGTAGAGACCCACCCCAAAATGCTGATGCTTGGTTACAGTTTTTCTAGTTTGGACGAGTGTAATTTTAGGTTGAGGCATTGCGTATAGAATTATTGAACCTCTAGGATCGTGACCATTTCAAAACATGTCGTTCACGCATATGGTTTGGTAATTCTTAGCATCTGGTAAAAAATTTGTCATCTGCCTGATGCTTATGGAAGATGCATAAGTTCATTTGGACAGTTAAAGGTAAGAAACAACCATCATCTTCCCCATATCAGAAGGTCAAAAAAGAAAGTTTCAAGTGGTAGATAGCAATGCAATTTCTGATGCTAACATTCTTGAATTTACAGACAAGAAAGGGAAAAAAGGAGAAAAAATGTGAAAATCCAGGACTTCTTACATACCGTAACTCTTGATGCTAACCTCTCTTGATCATGGTATGATGATCAAGAGAAAATTCAGAAGGTTTATTTATCACTGTTCGCTTACATGATTTGTCCATTCTCATGACTCCTCTCTCACTCTTTGTGAGCTTATTCTTGCCTTGGGCCAGAGAAAGCGAAAAAGGAAAGAGACTACAGCAGATGGAATGTTTAGAAAAGGAGAGAATATAAAGTGATGTAGCTAGTAAGGATCACCTACAGGGGGGTGAATAGGTGATCTAAAACAATTTTAATAATTTATGCGGAAACAAAATAAATCACAGAAGAGTCTGAATAAAATTCAGATTCAAGACAGATTATATAGACGGTGCTCTTGATGTGCAGAATGTAAAGTAAGAGATAAGGGATAGAGAATCTGCACACAAGTTTATAGTGGTTCGGCTTATTGCAAGCCTACGTCCACTCTCCCACACTTACAGCCTACCGGCTGGATTTCACTATGTAATCAAGAGGAATTACAACTTCTGAGTGTTAACACTCTTGTGTATGATAGGACTCTCTATCTCACACAATCACTCTTACAAAGTGTCCCTCAAAATCTTAATGTTTTGCTTTAGAACGACAAGAGAAATGATTGGAGTATGCTCAGACTTTGGACTTGTTGATTCTTGATTCTGTACCTACTTCTGCTGCTCGTTGATCTCCTTAAATACTCCTCTACTTCCAAACTAGCCGTTGGACAGCTTTCAGAGGATCATCTTCCAATCTTCACATTGGACAGATTTGTATAGAAAGGATTGAGTAGCCGTTGGATAACAGATTCTGAATCCCGCTGATTCTGGTCGCCCATACAATCAGAATCTTGGTTTCCATAAGTAGAGCTTTGTCCGTTGTAATGCATTCCTGTCGTGATGTTTGATTGTCAATCAATTTGATTAAGATTGAGACAATCAGAACATTCCTTCTGTGAAATCCATGCCAGATCACTAGCTGTTGTGTTACGTTCTGAATTCTGCGTCTGAAGAAATTCTGCGTCTGCATCTGAAGAACTTCTGCGTCTGCGTCTGAAGAATTTCTGCATCTGAATAATTTCTTCGTCTGCATCTGCATCTGAATAACTTCTGCATTTGCATCTGAATAATTTCTGAGTCTGAATTTCAGAACTTCGATTATGTGGGTCTTCATAACCATACTTGACAGATTGTAAAGTCTGAATAACTTTCTTTTGAGCTTCCAGAATATACAGACCTGGAATAAAATTGTTCAGAATAAGTATCAGATTTACAATAACATAGAAGGTTTTGTCATCTTCAAAATCAATAGGAGTTTTCCTCAACATAAAGTACTAGTTTGTTTTTTCAATGAGTTGAGGTTTGAACCATGGCTTCCCTTCGAGTGCCATTTTAGTATATTTCGCACCGAAATCGTAAAGTAAAGATGCTAAACTTTCCATTTACGCACAAACCTGCTTCCCTAAGTTGCAAATCTATATGTTCAGACCAAAAAAAAAAAAGTTGCAAATCTATATGTTTGATCATCCTTGTCTATCAACTAGAGATTAAAACACAAATGGACAAGAGGCTTCAAGAAGTAATAGTGGATGACGATGTCGATGTGCTGCATACCTTACTCGCCAAAAATCCAAGACTTTTGGAGTGCCCGACCGAGGAGCCGTTCCCTAATACTCCTTTACACGTAGCTGCGGCCACTGGCAAAACCCAAGTGGCCATGGAACTGGCCACTTTTAAGCCCTCATTTGCTAGAAAGCTGAACCCAGAGGGGTTCAGTCCGATGCACCTGGCTTTGCTGCATGAGCATTTTCAGACCACAAGAGCTCTAGTGACCATTGACCCTGAGTTGATCCGCGTCAAAGGGAGAAGGAGGATCACTCCTTTGCATTACATTGCCGGAAGAGAAGGAGACGAGGAGCTGGAGCTCCTGGCTGACTTCCTTTGTGCTTGCAGGCTGTCCATCGAGGACATAACGAGCCGGTGTCAGACCGCGGTTCACATTGCCGTGAAGAACCACAATATCAAAGCATTCAGAGTTCTACTTGGATGGACGAAGCGAGTGTATCTGACAGAGGTCTTGGACTGGAAGGATGAGGATGGCAACACGGTCTTGCATATTGCAGTATCCACAAATCAGCCTGAGGTTTGTTCCCATAGTTTTTGTTAAAACCACTTGTGTATCGGGATGAAACAAATCAGCAGCTACCCAAAAAACTGACCCATGAAGAGTCTAGGGTATTAAATTTTTCTTTATATCAGACAACAACAGATGGATTTCTTCTTCACATGTTACAGTTTTTCAGTATGTTGCTCTTCGTACGCCTTGTAGGTCGTCAAGTTGCTTACCGAGGACCGTTCTGTCTTTTTTAAAAACCGTCCCTTCTGGGGTAGCATGTACACGGACCGCCTTGTGAAGATGAATGCCAAGAACTTCCGTGGCAAGACGGCCCTGGACATCTCGCAGGAGGGCCACTGCGACAGAGAAATCAGGGACATGTTAGGAACTGCTAGGACTTCGCTCACCCTATCACAGTTTTTGAGCGGGAAAGTAACTCTCTTTGAGAAATGCAGTAGGTACTTCGGAATCCGGGATGAACGGACTCACGATGTGATCCTAGTGGTGGCCACTTTAATTGCGACAGGTACTTACCAGGCCGCGCTTAGTCCTCCTGGAGGTTATTGGCAAGACGACTCTTATCCCCTTGCCAACTCCACAAGCATCGTTCAGAAACCACATGTGGCGGGAAACATGATCTTGGGTGGCCCCAAGGTTACTTCTTCACAGTGCTCAACAGTTTAGCCTTTTTCACTTCCATCGGCACTATCTGGGCCACGGCAATGGGGTTACTGCCTGACACCTTCATTGTTTACTTGTCCGTGCTCCTTCTCGGCCTGACTTACTTCGTCTCCATCATAGTTGAATTCCCGAAGGCCAACTGGTTTGCAGGGACTCTGATTTGGGCATTTTACGAGATCCTGTTGATTGCGGTGCTGTTGCTCCCGATCCTGGTTTGGTTCAGGCACAAGGCACTTCAGAACCGGATGGATTCGACAAAGAGACGTGTTGGCAACTT